TGCAGGTGCCATGGGGGGTGCATCCCCAGGCACGGGTGCTTCAGCCCAGGGCGCATCAGCCCAGGCACGAGTGCTCGGGCCAGGCTCAGGGCCCATTGGTCCAGGCACGGGTGTATCATCCCAGGCATGGGTGCATCCACCCACGCAGGGCACATCAGCCCAGACATGGGTGCTTGGGCCAGGCTCAGGGCCCACTGGTCCAGGCACGGGTATATCATCCCAGGCACGGGTGCATCCACCCACGCAGGGCACATCAGCCCAGCCATGGGCTCCTTGGCCCACACAGGGCAACGTCAGCCCAGGTGTGGACGCAGCTGCCAGCACAGGGGTGCATCCACCCACTCGGAGTGCACTGGCCTAGGCACAGGTGCTTTGGACTGCAAAGGAGTGCATCAGTCATGGCAGTACTGCATCATCCCGAATATGGGTGCCTTAGCTCAGGCACGAGTGCATCAGTCCACATAGGGCATCGGTGCATAAACCGTGGTGTTAGTACATGGGCCCAGGCAGGCGTGTATCAGCCAACATACGGGCAATAGTGCATCGGCCCAAGGCATGTGCTCCATGGCATGCTCAGGAGCAATTGGCCATCATCAGGCTTCTCACTGGACTTATTGGCCACTGACAGGTGTCAAAGGAGTAATCAGGATGTGGCTGTGCTTTAATTTATGAGCAGCAGTACTCTGAGAGGTGGGTGTGTGGGCAGATGCAACTTCTGGACTGTCCTTGCCCTCCCAAGGTTAGACCTTTGGAAATGATGAAGACACCCAGGAGGGGACCTGCTTGCATAGAACATATTCCTTGTTACACGCAACTTGGGGGATCAAGCAGTTTTTAATAGTGGATTGCAGCATCCCAAGACTCTTCTGATGTGCGCCAGGTGCTAACAGTCCTGAAGATGGGTGCAGAGTACTGCCTGAGGATGTGGCCTAGCAAGCTTGGTGGCAGCCATCCTTCACAAGGACAATTTCTACCCAGGGTTGATGATCTGTGATTAGATACGCTAACAGGATGATCACAGTCTGCACAGAGCAAAGTGTCTGACCTTGTGATCAGGGTTGGCCTCGTGTATATGAAAATGCCCCTGAGACAGAGCAGTGGCAGCTCTGTGCTGTGCAAGTGAAAGTTTTAAATTAATTCAGACAAAAGAGTCTCGTCTGCTGTGCTGAGGTGGGATCAAAGTGGCTGTAGAGCAATCCTGCTCTCCATATTTTGCAGGGAAATCTTGTGTTACTGAAAGCATAAGGAGAAGGACAACCCTTTTCCACAACAGCTGTTAGAGATTTGCCTTTTATTTTGTTCCACTTTGTACTGAAAGCAAAAACCTTTGAATATAGCCCTGAAAGAAATTGTATCCAAAAGTCCATTTTCAGATAGGAAACAAGAAGTTAGCAGTGCCTGCTAAGTGCTCTTTCTACCTCTGGAAGTGATAAGTAAGTCTCCTGTGTACATCAGAAAGCTGATGTTGAAAATTTCTTCAGAGGCAGTGAAATACTTCAGCATGGAAGAAATGATTCACTGAAACCTTGTAATGAGCTCTATGTATCATCAGCCTTAGACGCGACTACAAATGGTTTCACCTCTGGGCATGCAAGCACAAAATGGAAGTTTAGGCATTACAAACACCTCCAAAACACTCCTGCTTTCATTTATTCTTTATATATAACATTTATATCCTATACTTGAATTAATGAGTGATTTTCTGTGAATTATTCGATACACTTATGTCTCTTTTTGCTCACAGTTCATGATTTTACTCAAATGTAATGAAATTATTTTGACAAATGTCTCTTTTTGTACTTGCAGTGACCATTCTTAACCTTTTCTTACACTGTGATTTGTTATGTGGTGCTATTTCTATTGCTACTGTGAGGTAGGATTTGTTCACTCACTGTAAGTTGTGTTAGTTAACTAGAGAAAAATCTACAAAAAATCAAAGTGTGCAGATAAGAACCTGAAAAAAGGACCAGATCATTTGAGACTGGAAGTGTTGGTTTTTATGGTCACTTCTCAGTTTAATTGGTAGATTTTTATTAAGTTTTTATTGAACTTTTTTAAGTGCTACAGATGTGGTGAGGGATGTTGTGAGTACTGTTGTCCTTCTGGTTCCCTGGTCCGTCATTCTTGATCCTTTGACCCTCACACCCTATTTTCATTTGTTGTTCCTGATATCTTTTTGTTTGTTTGTTTGTTTTTCCCCGTTTTCTTTACCCTAGCTGGCTTCCTAGAGGGGGCTATAAGGTTTGTTGTAATCAGGCCTAACCCTGAAAGGAGAAATCAATAAAGGCAGCCAAGAAGGAGGTATTTTGTGAGAGCATGCCAACCTGGCTGCTTTCTGTGGTCTTTTCCCCACCTCCCACCACTACTGGATTAGGAGTGTTGGAAGGCAGCCCTGCCTAGTCCTTATGCTAACTATGGACTTGTTCACAGGTTTGTCCAATCCTTTTCCAACCTGCTGATACCATCTGCCTGTGCAACCTCATGTGGTAGCAAATTTCAAAAATTTGCCACCTCCCATAAGGGAATATTTTTCTGTTTTAAACAGCTCTCCTGCCAATTTCACTCAATGCCCCTTAGCTCTAGTATTTCAGGGTTTGTAAATAATGGGTGTGCATTAACTTTACGCACCAGCTTTGTGATTTTGCCAACCTCTCCCTCAGGTATGCCCCCCTCCCAACCTCTTTTCTCCAAACCGTGGAGACCCAGGCTTTCTGTTACCCCCTCACGTTCGGAGCGAGATAGTGCAAGTCAACAGGGAATGTCAGGGATCACGTGAAAGTTGGATGTCTTCCTGAGAAACTGCATTGCTTCCCCTGGATTGATAGCAGAAGTAAATAAGCCATTGTTTGATGTGGGTGTTTGGCTGAATTCAGGCTGTTGCAGTTCCTTGGATAAATAGCTGCCTTTGAATTCCTGGAATAGACAGACTAGGTCTGGCTCACTTGTTTTAATTCTGATGAGGTATTTTCATAGTGTCAGCTTGTTCCAGTCCTGCTGAAGCTACTGATCACCTGTCCATTAGCGCCCTTGGTCTTTGGATCGTAGCGTTGTTTAACGTTTATGAACAAACCACCATGGCATGTCATCTGGAAGTGGGAATTTAGATCCGTTAGTGATGCTGAGCTGTGACCAAATGTAGTTTCTTGGCGTTTTGAAGGAACGTGACAAATAACACAATGTGAAGGGTGAAGGCAATATCTGATTCAAAAGCAGAGCAATTCAGGAGCAGGATTCAGGCTTCATCTTGTGTAGAATTAAAATTGGAAGAAATTCCAAATACAACTGTAAAAGTACCATAGACACATGCTTGAATACACTATTGGGCTGGTGATAAGATCTCTGTACATCACTGTCCGTGTAATGCCGCTATGGGTATCCATATGCTGCCAGGAATGTGGTAGGAATTGAAGAAGTCACCTGCAACATTGTCTGCTGTTCAAACACCCCTGAGACCCCTGAGACTAGGGGTGATTAATCCACAGTGGCAAAGGAACTGGGAAATCTTACCTCTGTGCTATCGTTAGTTCTGATGCTGAAGCCGTCTGAATTCTGATGCTGTACTCATTGCTTGATGAGTACATCAGTTCACTGCTTGATTTGAAACAGGCTGTCAGAGGACCAGGTAGATCATGGTACACAAACGGGGAGCTTGTTCTCGCTCCGGATGTGGAAATTCCCATGCACAGAATGACCTCAGATGCCGCCCTCACTTCAAATTCTCTTGCTGTCTTGCTTAAATTTGTTTTTAAGGCCAAATTTTCAGCCACAACAAACAAACTGGCAGATATTCCAGCTCTTTTCCGCCTCTGGCACACCTCTGTGTTCATGTAACTGAGCTGAGTGGCGCTACCCAATCTGCGTATGTAATTTCAGTGTTTTGTGTCACATGCAGTCTCCTTTTTACCACATTAATTGCTGCTCATTTGAAGGCATAATAACCTTCATTTTGCAATGAATGGCTTGACATTACAGGAAGAAAGTTCATTGTGCACTAATGATCTGTTATATGGCTGCTCAGTTTATTATGGTATGTAATGGAAAATAAAATAAAATTAAATATTGTGTGTACTTATCAGCTAATTTAAATACTTAAACGTCTTGGATATTATATCTTTTCAGCTGTTGAATAGTAGTGTAATCTGCATTAAGAAATAGCTCCCTGTAGATTTTTTTTTTTTTTTAACTAAGCTGGTTTTGCTCGGAAGAAATGCCATACAGGAATCCAAAAATGTAGAATTTATTCAGGAAGGATAGTTTTTCTTCCTATCTTTCTTGCCTCTGTTATTTATCTACCCTATGAAAATAACTGAGCCTCCATTGACTCATATTACATTATTTGGAGAGTATTTTTGAGAATCTTGTTGGGAAGATGCATTACAACAGGAAAATATGATATGTTATTGCAAGAAAAAGCCATTGCGAAGCAGGATAACTGAGTCAGCTTGGTCAGTTTTTAACTTGCAGGCAGTTTGACTGGATTGCAGTGGCCTTTTATATAAAGAAAATGTTTGTAAGAATTTTCTTGTTGGAGGGTACACTGAATTATGTAAACTTGCTTCAGTCCTCGGGCAAGATTTTGGGTGCTGCACCTTCAATAAACTGTGGGTTATGCTGCACAGCTCCTGGAGGACGCTGTCTGGACTCTGGCCGTTTTGTGCTAGCTCTCTAGAATCCTGCATATGATGCAATAAATCTGAACACCCTACGCACAGCTTGGTGACCTACGTGTGATCTGGAGATGCACTCGACCTCTCCTGGTCGCCCAAAGCACCTGTGCTCCCGGCTGGCAGCCGAGGCAGCCGGCAGGGGCAGGGAAGGCGCACACGGGGCGCGCGTCCTGTCACGGGTGTCCTCGTCTCCTCCTCCGCTTTCTTGCCTCGCTGCTCCCCTCCGCTGGCACGTCGCCCTTAGAGCAGTGCTGGCCATGGCAGCGGCTTTGGCCCTGCTCACCTTTCCCCGTCCCTCCTCAATCTGGAGATGCAGGACCCGAA